AATCGTTGGACGTGAAATCTCTTCAATTTGAACAGGAACATAACCAGTCACTTAGAATGAATTATTTTCTTTATTCTTCATATTAACTTTGAACTTGATATGTTTGATTTGATTGAAGTAAACCAGCAAAAATGATCAATGAGAGTCGTAATGAGACATGATTACCTACATATTTCCAGATTAAGTCATTTTCTGATTCCAAATTATATGGAAAGAATAAGCAACAAATGTTCAAGTATTTCTACTTGATCGATTGAATAAATATGAACTTTTAATGTTTGAAAAATTCGGCAGATTAGAAATTCAACAAGAATATGCATAGTTCTCATTCTAAAATAATCAACATAGTCCACGTGTCAATCAATCAATCAATGTTCAAACATATCTACAGAAGCATCCAATTCATCTTCATCAAGATCAACTGAATAAAGATGGGGATTTAATTGCAGATCTTGTTCAGATCCAATTGTAATCACTAATGTTCATAATGAAACAAGTTTAACTACAATATCCGATGAAATTAATCGAACATAAACTGAAGCAGATTATGTTAAATTCTATATAATCATTGTCATTATCAATTTCATTTCGTAAACATCAATCGGTAATGTTCGAGTATAGATCTGATGTTTTTGATGAAAAGAACAATTCATAAGAATGATTCCAATATAGACAGTGTTTTTTTCTTCTTCTTCTTCAATCTTCTTCTCTTCGTCTGCTAACTTCTCCAATTGCTCATTTTCATAAATATAGAGTGTGAGTGTGGGTGCTGATATAATAGAAAATCATCACCCACACCCATACTCACAGGGGCAGTAACACTGGCACCCCACACTAACGCATCTGCACCCACACCCGATTGTTAAAATCATGCCTGTGTGTGTATGAGGGCAATTGGAGGTGCATCGTACACAGTGTATTTCTTCGTGCTATTGACACTATTCTTATGTTATGCAACAACCTAGTTAGTCTGTTAAGATATCTTGCAATGTGCTCTCTGCATTAACACGTAATTGCAGATGATGAAAATATTATGAAAAAAGAAAAAACTAGTCAAACCAAAAAGGTTAGTTTCATGATGTTCATTTCTTACGAAAAAACAATGATATGTCAATAGAAAAATTGTTTTTCTTTTGGTTAGTAAACGAGAAATAGGTTGTAGCAAGCTAAAAAACAGACATCATTTTTACTAGTAGTTTTTTTTTGAATGAGCAAAAGAGGAAGCTTAATTTTTTTTATTCATAAAAGAACGAGAAAAGAGTATTTCATTAGCTTCATTTAATGCAATGCATTTGCTGTTCATTAATATGTAGAGGTTCTTAACAATGTAGACTGCCTCTTGCGCTAAATATTATTACATGTAAAGAGAAAGGAGAAGTAAAACGCCAGATGTCGATTTCCATGACACTGCTGTTTCACGGAAGAAGTAGTACTAAATCATTAGGTTATACTTTTCTAATTTAATATTGCCTTCTAAACAGAATTACCATTTTTTCTGCTGTTTCAACCAATCCAATACTACTTTGAAAAATGAAATGCATGTAAAGAAAAAAAAGTAAATTATATTGTCTCATTTTTAGTTAAAAAAATAGAGCATCGAACTGTTTCAAACAAAGCGTACTTTGTAAAATTAATTCAAATAATCAAACACTTGGTAAGTATGGCCATAAGTAGGAGTAGAGGGTTCTTCACTTCTGACTGACAGTTCGAAGCACTTTTCACATTGATATATTTATAAAAAGATTTATATATTGACTTATTTTGGTCCACGAAACTATGAATTTTCTTTTCAGAAAAAAATTATTTGCAGTAAATTCAAATAATTATCAGCTACTCAGTTGTTCTGCTAGTGCACTAAAAGATATAAACATGGTGGCAAAGAAAAATAGTGGATATAGCCGTTTTTTTTTTTCATCCAAATTGTACGGTATTTTTCTGTCAAAATCAATTCAACAAAGACTTCTGATAGTATTGCAAAATAAACCTTTAAAATATCATCAGAAGTCTCCGTTGAATGGATTGTAATAGAAAAAAACGATATATTTGAGTGAAGGAGAACGGTCTTAAGCCGTCCTCGACTTTTTTCATTGGAATTCTATTCCAACTTCAATTATACCATAGCTATTTTCTTAAAGTGCTGAATTGTTTCATGCATATATGTCAGAGTTGAGGAGCTTATACATACGCAAATCAATATATGTTTGCAAAAAGTGCGAGACTGTTGACGGACGATTGAATAGTCGATAATTGTTTGAATGTTATGCATAAAACAAACTTTACTTTGAATACCAAATTGCACGTTTTTTTCAAAGTATCTAAAAGACAAATTCTTTTTGACTACTTTTAAATGACTCAAAGGTAGAGCATAAAAGTGGTGAAATCATCAAACCTTTTTCAGTGAAAGACTAAGGTTAACATCTGACTTAAACTATGACAAGTTTGAACATTTTGAATCAGGTCGATTTCGAAAAAAATATGAATTTTCTCGATTTCTGAAAAGTTTTCAGATAGAAAACGATTAAACTTATCATCAGGAAATTCCTTATAACATAATTATACTCATTCAAACGGGTTGGAGCATTTTCATCTTCATTCATCGAAAAAACATTTTTTAAAGTGAAGAATCCATTTTTTTGCTTTCAAATCATGTGAACATGGTGACATGTACTTTTTTTTTAAATCTAGAAACAGCCAAAAAGACTATCTTTTCTGAGCAGACCAGGATCAACATACTGTGGGATTTATAACTGTAGTTATATTATGCATTTTGAGAGTACCAGGATGAACAAATCATAGAGTAAGACTAGTAACAGATTCTTGGATATTCGTATCAGATCTTAACTCATTCTCGTGTATGGTCATATAAGGTCAGATGAAAAAACGTACGAAAGGTAGTAGTCTCAGAAATCTTACATCAATTCTGAGAGTACAATGAGTACAAGATCCAACAATATGATCATGCATGGTCATAAAAAATCGTATTGTAGAATTTCACTATATTTTATCACTCTCTTCGAATAATTTACAACTCCTTAGACAGCTGCACAATGGGAGTGATCGTAGCTTCCAGTTGAATGCCAATACGCCATCTTTAACCACGCATAGACCCAATAGAAAGTTCCATCAGCTAACATCACACAACCTCACTATCGCGCCTACACACCTCATTCTCTTTCATTAAACCTATATCCCTATCCCGATCCCCTTAAGCCTATATCCTTATCCTTATACACCTATATTTATACCCTTAAACTCATACTTATATCCCTATGGCTATACCCTTGTACCCTTAAACTTATTCCATTAGACGTTTCAACTTGGCGCTACCGAGTTAAAATTTTAACATTAAACCTTAATCGCCTTGGTAACGTCTTAAATCAATGGTGGCCGGTCTGCATTCGTTTAACTGTATCCTTGCATCTGTATTCAGATTGTCAAAACTTTGTTATTCAGTCTAAATGAACTTCTATTCTACTTGCACCGGCTGTCTAGCGTTCATGTACTTGCTGTTATGATTGGTATCGCTATTTATGTACGCATTTGCTTTTTTAAGGTATGAGCTTTTACCATGTGGCTACCGCGTTTTGTTTTCTATGATTACTTATGTATTGGTGCCTGGTAATAGCTAAATATCATTTCATCGTGTTATAGATCTACATCATTATCGGTGTATATGAGAGATGTTAGTTTATTGTGATTTTTATTGATGGTAAAATAAGAATATCAATCAAATCTTTATGTTCATAAAATAAAGATTAATGAATTCTTTATATTTGAAAGTAAAGATAAACTATTTTTCTTATTTATCTATATGAAATAAAGAAAAAATAAATAATAAAGAAAATTACTTGTCTATGAGAACCTAAATCTTTAATTTTTACAAAGTAGCTCACAAAAAATGATGATACCATAGGTAGTAATGAAATACATAGAAAAGGTTTTTCTATACGTTTTTTCATGTATCAGCTTGTTTTTTTAATAATATCACATGCAGAAGTTATGCCAGTGATAAGAAAGAATATCGATCAGCATATCCCGCTTTTACACTAAGTATACGTCTATTTACCTATCATAGAAAAAAATCTTTATTTATTATTTATCTTGTTTTTATTTTTTTTTTCAAGATAAAAAATTCGTTTATCTTTAATTTTTAAATAATAAAGATTTAGCTATGTATTTCTATTTATTTTTTCACCTTTATTTTATATACATATAGATTATTGTGGAAAACTCGTTGTCTTCGTGCATTTATTTATTTTTGCGCGATGACATAAGTATATTTTGCAATAAAAAGAACTGGACTTATGCTTAAGTATTTGTGATTTTGAAACAACTGAATCTTAATTGATACACATACATTTTAAATGGACTTTCATATATTATCTTACAAGATACTGTAGGATTCATACTTAGAAAATTGTATATACTTGTTTGATGAGAGAATCTATCTGGTCTTATATGATCAGATCGGGACTGTAATAGTTATTCTTGTAAGATTTCCGTCTTGATCTTATATTAAGAATCAGTTAAAGTCTTGCATTTACATTGAGCATACGAACTTGATCGATCTTGTCCCAAGATCTTAAAACAGAATCGTAATTGCAAGATACTGTGTAAACTTGAATATGCAGAAAAATAAATGCCAGTAAAGATTCTTCTTACAATTATACTAAGAAACTGTCCTTATTGAGTTGATGAGCAAGATCTTGCAGGAGTTTGTTCAAAACAGAATTTTATTGAAAGAATGTTTACAGAAGTGTCTATCTCGTCTTTTTTTCTCTTTATGGTTTCAGATAAAATTCTTTTGAGACAATACTATAACAGACGGAGTAAGTGAACGGGTCTATTCAATGGCTTATGTCATCTCATCTCATTTCTGTGTAAATAGCTATATGTTATTTCTATTGTTTCTTATCGTTGACATTGTTTTCACGATTCCTATTGGGATGATTTCGAACACAATCTATATTACATCAAGTATTGACGGAATATTTTCAAATATGACATGCACTCAATGTACATGTGCTGCTCTAATAGCTGGTGCCGTTGGATGGAACTGCGTGACAAGCAATGGCACGTGTCAACTGATTACCAACTATTCATTGGATAATGGTCATATTGTAGAAACAACCAATGGATCTTTTTTCTTTCAACAATTTCCATCCCATCTTTTACTAACAACATCTGATACAACAGCAGAAATAACATCAACAAGTAAAAATTAGAGATGTTTCCGACCCTAAATAACAATTTTTTTATTGATCATGGTCTTGAATCTAAAGATCCAATTTCGTTTCTGAAATTAAATCATATTTTAAGGATTCACATGAATGATGTTAACTCCTGAATAGTACGACCATTTCTTCATGTGGATGGGTGAGAGCTAGGGATATACAAAATCAGTCTTTTTATTCAATTAATGTACGTATTTGAATCGATGTTACTTTCAGAATCAGTTTCTAGAGCTAGTTGTAGAACAATTTTTTTCTACGATTAATCCAAAATTTTCACGTTTATTTATATATTACCAACAGCTATCGTAGTTTCTTTTTGAATATAACCAAGTACAACAACAATACTAAAGAGTTCATGCTATAGGCATAGCAAAACAATGATGTAAACCATGACTAGCTCGAGATCTTGTAGTTTCTAAAGTAGACATCACGAAGATTGCTCTTTCCAACGATAAAACATCGATCTCGATAGCGTCTACCGATCGAAAGTTATTGCGAACATGACCACAGCCGCTGAACTTTGAAATAAATAATAAGTGTACTTCTTTTTCGATAGGTACAACATCAACAGCGAGTACAACATCAAGAACAAGCATTGCAAGTATGAAAAGAAATCAAAAAAAGAATATCTTTACCATATAAACCAGCGATGTAGTCAGGATCTAATACTGTAAGTTTGAATCTTTGAACGAGAGTCCTGTTTTATTATATAGCACTAACTACGTGCACGTAACAGGAGAAGGATGCAAGAAATATAGAGAGAAACCAATATGTGATGTATTTGTACATATTGGATAAATTTCAAACAGCTTTGATATTAAAAATTTATGAAAACATGGCAAAACTTATGAGAGCGTGATACTACTACAGAGCGAAAAATATCGAGTTAGAGTGGGCTAAGACATATATCGATTGGGCTCATGATTTTCTATTCTGTTCTACCAAGCTTTCCATTTATTAATTCACAATGCACAGATTTGATAAAGTATCAAAGTGCGGCTTTTGAAACTGTAGAGTTTCGGTCTAGAATGATATTCATATAATTATCAAATCAATTCTAAGCCTTCATTCTGTTTGGGCTAAGGGCTACAATATATCGTATCGTGTTCTTAAAATGACTCTTCTATAATTCAAGAAAAAAAAATTCATATTTATCATAAATTTCACTTAGATAATAATTGTCTATTTAACTTGAATCATATTCGACGAGATTGAGAAACTCATTCACATTTGTTTTATGCTCTCCTGGATGGACGAGACTGGCCCTAAAAATATGGACGCATGAATCGTTGAACTTTAGTTTAGTTCAGTCTGTGCACGGAGAAGCTGGTTCAGAGACGGTCATGGATGATGACCCATCTAGTTTAAACATTCCCTCCAAAAAAATTTCACTTGCCATATGAATCAAAGTTCTATATTACCATGAACTAGTCTTTTAGTTTTTTTCATTTATAATAACACTGTATGCTGATCGAAATTGATGATGATGCAATTGTTAATAAAAGAGGAGAACGGGGCAACGATATTTTGTTGAATAAAAACAAAGTTTTTTAATGTGGATAGACAATTTTATGTTTTCCTTTTTCCGTTTGAGTGTACTTATTAGCTCTTCACTGAAACAACAAAATGAAATTTTCTGAAAAGATAAATTTGAAAGTGACAAAACGTGACATTGCTTGAAAAGTTTTTATTTTATTCAAGATTCGGCCGCAGGATGTCTATCGCCAAATTGGATCAGTCAAGCTCAACTTATTTTGAGCTCCTATATGTAAGATTCGTTTGTTTAATGAGGCCGCACGTTTGTTTGTCTTGGATCATATATTTTCTCTCTATTATGCTTGTAACTTTTTGGGCATGAATCCGGCCAACAGGAGATTTCAGACTCGAACCGGATCCGATAGGTTCGTGTCGACGTGCCTGGATTTCATTGCTTCTCTGTTTTACGAAGTCTCTATTGTCTGCAGAAGTTTGTCGTCTATTTATCAAAACTGATACTCAATATTCTATAGAAAGCTAATTAAATGAGTTACTTATTAATAAAAGATATAATGGTCACCGAATTTTGATGTATAGGTTAGAAAGGGAAAATATAAGAGATAAAAACATTGAAAGAAAACGTATACGAAAATGTTTAGTTGAATCATCTCATTTGTCATTTTCTCTTGTCAAATCAGCTCAATCTTCTTAAACTATAGAATTTATAGTCATTTCTTGGAAAATAAAGTCAACAACTCACTATGCCTGTAATGATAAATATCGCACCCTCATCCTAAACCCGTTGATTCCCGTGAGAATGTTTTGTTGAGAATCTTTCTGCCCGCGCGTAATGTGAATAGCATGGTAGAAGCGAAAAATTTTATTTGATGAAGAGGTCGTGTACAGCATAGCATCACCTTATCAACAACAATAATCGCAGCCATGCCTAAAACGAATATTGATAAATTATGTAGAATAAAATTGACACTCATAATTTTTATTCTCAGCTACCACTACAACGACAGCACTCGATTGTATAGCAAGTTTAGTTGGTGCAACATCACTGCTTTATCTAGCAAATGTTAGCAGTCAAAGTTATACGAAGTATTCTTATATTTACACTGCTGTCACGACATCAACACGTCTCACGTTATCATTTCGTATGGATTCAAACAATTGGTCGTTGGACACTGTTTCTGTCAAAAAATCTGGAACATCTATAGAATTGTTGGCAAACGGAGACTTTCATTTAGGTAATGGAACTGGCTTGTCATCATGTAATCCATATAATGCAACGAAATCTGGATTTGTTATAAACGATTCTCTTAATGCACAATCAGGCAGCTTTTATTGGAAAGACGGATCGACAGGCGCTGCAGACTATTTGTATTATTATTTTCCCACTGATATTGGTACAAATTATACTGTTAGTTTTTATCTTAAAAGTGGTGGTGGACTACCGAACAGTGCACATGTGTACATTGGATCATAAAAATGACGAAAAAGTTCAATGATGATAATAGCAATTCATTATCATGTAACTTGCTAACATTGATAAACTGAACAATGCACTAGAAGACTTTCGCTGATGTATGATGAAACTTTATCAGAAGACACGAAAATCTTTATTGTATCGGTTCTTAAAGTATTAAAAAAATAAAATTTTTTCGCTTCTCTGAACTATGGAGGAAAGTGGCTTTGTTGAAATGGCTTGTGATGAAATCATATGTTTCAATCCCTATCTCAGAGTGAAGTCGCCCATGTGAAAAAACATCTCTAGGTCTCTAGTGATTTGAAATATTCAGCTGCAAAACATTTACGATGACTCGTGTTATGGCTGCATTATTACTAATCGATTACATCCTGAAGAATGCGTGTACATACGAAATTTCAAAATTCTTAGAGAATTTTAACGATTCCTATTTGAAAACAAATCTGATCACATCTCGTGAGATTTCACTAGATTTTCTCGAGAATATTATTAGATTTCTTGACAGAAACTTTGTAGGATTTTTCAATCGGAACAGAAGAGAAATGAACACATGGAGTCTAAATCTTTAGACTTTCACTTTACAAACTGATCAGCTTATCCGATTGAGTTGTGACATGTTATTGTATTATTAATTTCAACGTATGGTATCTTAATTTTGGACTGAAATGTTAACTTCTATCAGAATTTTATATGAAAACAAATTATCTCAACAGAATTTTTTTCAATAAAATTTCAATATCAATTTTTGAAAGTGAGTGTAGAACAAAATCTACTCAAATTTTGTCAGAAGCTCTCTATTTGTCTATGCAAAGATCCAAATCGAGATCAGGACAAAATTCTAGTAGATTCCTCAATTCAAAAACGTAATAAAATCTTGGAAAAATCTTCCATTTCAATATTGACATTGCAATCCTGTTATGATCTATAGATTTATAAATCTTCAACAGATCCTGCAGAAAAACCAGTTGAAATCTTGATGAAACCATCTTATCCATTTTTGCCGAAATCCTCAATACAATTAGTTATAAGTCTCGATAAGATGTCACGAATCAAATTCTGAATTCATTTCAAACACAAATCTGCAATGATCTTAACGAAATCCTTATATTTTCTGATCAAGTTCCTGATCATGATTGATAATGTCTTGTAAGAATTCGAAAATGCTTGTCCCTAATAAAATCTGAGCAGAACCTTGAACCAATTCTGGAGAGGATCCTGTTTAACTATGAGACATCTTGTAAACATAAACTATTAGGGTGTGTGGTGTGGGTGTGGGAGAGTGGCTTCCTTTCATAACCACACGAATACCCACACTCACACCCATACCCACACCCACACCCCGATACAAAAAAGACACTGAACCATCTATTCTACACAACAATTCACCATGTGCAAATAAAATCTGTTTTTTATCTTAGTTGTAACGTGCTCAAAACTACTAAAATCTTCAATGATGAACATTCACCATCGCCAATATACCACTGGTTCATGACAACACGTTCTCAAACAAAAATATTGTAACAGTTAAACGGTAAAGTTATACAGTTTATTAAATAGAAATCATTTTTAATTTTATTTTACTTGTTTAGTTCGAATGCTTTTGAATCTGATTAACAACTAAAAAAAACTAAACTGAAAACAAGCGGCATTGAGTTTTCTATGTGTGAATAATCGTTTTACTTGTTCACCTTACTGACATTTAAGATATATATAAACTTTACTGGAACTGTTCTCTAATTTTTTCCTCACTACGTATGTTTGAAATACATATATTATTTTACTGTAGTTTTATCTTTATTATTTCCTTATTATATGAACCTTGTTTGATAAACTTTATCATTTTTTGTTGAATAAAAGCGACAAATATAAAGTAATTTCTAATTTCTCGCACTTGATACGAACCGACCTTTTACAACAAAAGGATTCGATTGAGGTGAACGATAATCGGCCTAAATTAAAATAAATGCACCTGATTTAAAAAGCATATTCTTCTTATACCAAACAAGACTGCATTTTCTAGAATTTAGAGGTGCAGCATATTCCAACACTTAAAAAAATATATGAAAATATTTAATTTCAACATTGAAAAAGCTTAAGTTTTATCGAAATAGATTTATGAGCTTTTGTATCCTCTTGTTGATTTACTGATTTGGCCCGTTTTGATATTTTAACCATATAAGGGCACCATCTCATAAGATTAATAGTACTTTTAATGTGCTAGGTGTATATAAGTAAAATAGTCAATCAACGTATTTAGCTATTTCTGTCTTCGGCTTCAGCTTCGACCAATTATCATTACCCTACCTCAATCTCCAAAATTTTTGCAAGCATTAATGAGTGGCGGAAAGTTAACCAATTAATATGCTTGATGTGCAGCGACAAAAGATAAGAACATATCGTGTAGAAGAAAGATATTTTTGCTCAGATTAGAATTCTAAATTGAAAGAAAATCGATGCTCAAAGTTCCTTTTTGTTCTTATGAATAATTGCGATGCTTCGGTTGCGATTGGCTGTGAATTTTCCCAAGACAACACCTCTTTGCATAACGGCATATATTGATGGTGCAACTATTCATTTAATGACAAACAACAACCGTATTGGTTTACTTTAGATATAGCACCCTAGCCTTACACAGTGTTGTGTATGCAAATCATATCTTTTGTGTGTTTAAAGTAACTTAGTACTGTAGACACTTACATGACCGCAACGATTACCAAAACATCTTGCATCAAATGCAATAAACCAAAACACACAGTGAAATGCAGTGGATGCTCTCAAGATTTTTGCTTCGACCATATAGTTGAACATCGCAATGAATTGAGTCAACAATTAGACACAACAGAAGATCAATTTAATCAGTTACGAATTGAAATAGATAGGCAAAAAACCGAACCAGAAAAGCATGAATTAATGAAAGAACTTGATAAATGGGAACGCGAATCAATCGAAAAAATTAAACAAGTAGCCAATGAAGTTCGTCGTGAACTATCATCGTGTGTCATCAGATTTGTAACTAATTTAGATGTAAAGCAAAGACAATTGACAGAACAACTTATTCAATGTCGTAAAGAAAATGATTTTGCAGATTCAAACATTCAATTCTTCAATACAGAACTTAAACGATTAAAAGATACCCTCAACAATCCATCAGATTTCAAAATTGAATATGATTCAACGTCATTCATTAATAAAATTCATCTTACACAGAAAGGTAAATCATGTGTTCCAATTAGGGCTGCAACAATCGAAAGAATTTTTCTTCATTTTCGTTTATCGAAATAGTAAACTAAACTGTTCAAACATTTCAATTGCATAAATTTCTGCATTAAAGAGTTTCATTATGTAATTTCATTGTGTTGAAAAATCGAACGTTTTAAAATTTCTATAAACTCCATCGTTTTGAGATATATATATAATACAGAATAGTGGCACTAGTTCAATATGTACATACAATAATTGGTGTTGAAAAAAACTTCGAGTCTAAAACACTAAACTATAACATTTCTACTTCTTCAGAATGGAAAGAACCTTCATTTACGACAGTGAAATATTCGATGAATATTTCATATTTCCACATACTAAACCAACATTGCATTGATGTATCTCATTTGGAATAATTTGATTTCAAGCTAAATAAAATTAGAATGATATGAAGAAAGGCATTAGTCAAAAAAAGGATTTGAGAGTCGCGTTGACCGATGAATTCAATTCGAATTCAAAATAAAAAGCTCATTGATACCTTGAGAAACAATAATAGTTCTTGACAAATCTTATTGATCTGTGTGAGAAAATAAATTCACTTAGCTAAGTTTGACTTTCTCTTTGAAATCCAGTCTACAAAAGAGAACTGTGTGCTTTTCAGTTTGAAACAAGTTTCATCTAAGAAATAAATACCTTTAGAAACCATTTTCATTTTAGGATGCACTGTCTCGAAACAACTGAACAATTGTGACAGTTTTAAAGTTAATATTTGACATCTTTCATTTCTCTAGTTTCACTAGCCGTTATCAGAATCAGATTTTCTTCATTTTGATTTCGAAAAGTAAAAGAGAATGAAAGAAAAGCGATTGTTGACATAATCACTATGATTTTTTTCTCAGAAACGAGTGGAATGTGTCACTAATGTTTGCAGCATCGTTTATCACAAAGATCAAGGTAAATTCTCGCTTCTTTTCCTATCAGAGAGAAGTTTAAGCATTTCTGCGAAGAAAATCTTAAACAATTGAATATCGATTCTGAAAATTCGTTCCTCCTTCTAATTCTCATCTATTCTCGGTCAATACACATATTAAGCAGAGTTGAATAATACAATTTTTGTTGCTCTGACGTTTGTTGAATCTGTTCATTATTTCTCAGAACCCAGATTCATGGAAGAATTCTTGTCCATGGTACGGTTGACTTATTTCTTTCAGTTTGATCGAAAAAAAGCTGTAAGCAAAATCCTGGCGGGATTTAAATGTAAAACGAGATACAGCCATTGTTGCTTATTACCTTGAAACTCTTTCGGTTAATCTATTTTGCGATAGATTTGTACACAACTTTTTACTTATAGAACTACAGCAAGCAAGTAGTTCATATATATTAATGAGATCTTACTGATATATGGTTTTTAATCGTATATTGACGTATGCCACGGTCTAAGGGGAGATGGCGGGGGGTGGTACAGTGGGCAGCCAGGCGACAAAATCTGTATTTGAGATTCGAACCCATATCGTAGCTAGCATTGAAGCTACTATGGTCCTGCATTTAAGTGCATCTTGGATCCCGATCTATAGCGAGTATGTAGTAACTAGCAGGTACCACCATGTACGTGAAATAGGTGAATATCATTAATAATACATATAAGTAAAATGTGTGTTTTAAATTAAGGATCTAGTTTATATCCGTTAGTTATTATGTAGTTATACAGTGCTATGTATGTACTATATATTACAGACCGTATGAACTTCTTGAAGATCTTTAGGCTATAATAAGATCAAAAACTTAGCATCAGTATAGTGAAAAATAGCCACTGGCCTATAATGCAGTTCGTTTGCGCAATTTTGCAGGAGTTTAAATTCAAGTTTTAATTTATCGTTTGATAGAACGTGTCATGATCTATCTTCGGGTAGATGCGCAAAGATGCGCCATTGAATCCTTCTCGAGATATTTGATTTTTACAGCATTCTGTAGCACAACAACCTGGTTCCCCCAAGGTTCACCGGAAAAATCAACTTTCGAATTTCGACTTGCAACTTTGCGCAAAGAAAGGTCTCAATGAGCCTAGTTAATTCTGAAAGTTTCAAATTTCCTGGTTGCTCCTATCCTTAAATATAAACATTTAATATTTTGTGCTATAAATGATGTGACAAAGAATATTTTTTCTTATACTTATATCTCGAGATAGAAGAAACCCAAAAATCCAAAAGTTTCAAGTGGAAATTCGAAAATTGATTTTTCGGGTGAACCTGAAGGATGACCACGACTTTTGCTAAAAAATGCCATAAAAATTACATATCTCGACAAAAATAAGTTATAAGCACGAACTCTTTTCAGGATGTTCATAGCTCATTAGAGCCTACATAATGCACATAGTCTCGATTCAAAAGCGAATTTCAGCTGGAAATTGCTCCTGACCCCCTTTTCCTGCTGATTATGCCGCCCTCCCCCCGCCACACCCACATTCATTCAATAGCCGGCTTTGGGGAGGGTGTGAATGTGTGGTGCACATGTGAGTAGGTATGAATGTGGCGTGGGTCTGCGGATGGAGTCTGGTGGTCAATGAATGCTGGTTTAGATATGGGTGCTGATCTGCTCTTATAATCCACACCTACACTCACACACCTCATGCATCCACGCCCCAGCCATACGTCACACCCACTCCCAAGCCATACGTCACACCCACTCCTAAGCCACACGTTACACTCACTCCGCAGCCACACATTACACCCACTCCCCAGCCACACGTCACACCCACTCCCAAGCCATACGCCACACCCATACCCTCAATGAACAGTTTAAAGCTGCCATTTTAATGTCGAAAGAAAGTTAATTTTCAAAAACCATTAACTTCGATCAATATTGAACTTTTGTACTCGATGCTTTGCATATTCACTCACATAGAGATTGCCTTCTCGATCAAATGACAAACCGGTGGGACAATCTAGTTGACTAGATTGACTTTCTTGAACATTCCTACCAATGATGACACTTTCCTGTTTAGCTCTTTGAGACCAACGTGTTACTCGATGATTTCCCCATTCAGCCACGTAAACTGTACCTGACTGATCCACGAAAATTCCTTGTGGATTTGATAATTGTGCAAGACTATTTCTTGAATCTCGACCAGCCACAACAATTCCTTGTTTTGAACCTTCCATCCACTTCATAACACGATGATTAGACTGATCTGATACGTATACTGAATGATCTTGATCGACGAAGACATACCTTGGGCCGTTCAACTGATCTAGCCGATTCCCTTGTCCGTTTCCGCCTGCAACGACTATTCCTTGACTTTCTCCCATTCTGTATCGTCTAACTTCATGTTTATCTGGATCAACAACATAAAGAAGTCCATCATAGTCCATAGTCAAGCCCCAACATGCAAAATTTGAAATGATCGTTACTCCATTTTTACCATTTTGACGAGGCCATTGAACTACTCGTTTATTACCCCAATCACAAATGAGGAGACTGTCTCTTTTTTTATCAATAATCACATCTGTCGGAGCGTTCAACTGATTAGAATGATTTCCTTGTCCATTTCCACCGGCTGCAACTCGACCAGTTGTTGCACCGCATTTCCATTCCAAAATACGATGATTCGACCATTCAGCTATGTAAAGAGTTTGATCATCATCAACAAACAAACCCCATGGATGGCTGAGCTGATTCTTATGATTACCTTCCCCATTTTCTCCAGCGACAATGACACCATCCTGTTTCCATTTTGTATTCGCATTCAGAGTTGAATTGGGTAGACAACATACTGAAATAAAAGAAAATTTCTTCAAGTGACATCAAGTCAGTGTACGTCGATGAAAAGCAAGCTTCGAGTTAAAAAACTTTGATCGACAAAGAGAGACAAAGAACAATTTTACCGAATAGTTATACTCAGCAATGCGTGAAGGGTAGTCTCGTTGTTTTGATACTTAATACAAGTCTGAGTATTCCTATTGAATGACGATTGACACTTGCATCTTCAAAATTACACTTGGATTTTCGTTTCATGTCGTCCTTGACGACACACTTGTCATCTTTTAAAACGGCTCCCATAAAAAAACTATCATTATCAATAATCACAATTACTTAAAAAACTTGATAATGCATTTTTTCCCGAATAGTTATTGCTTTAAACTAGTTGGAGACGATGGCGGTGACCATTTCATTCCAATCGACGATTCTGAATAATTTTCATAAGACTTTTTTAAAAATCGACTGGATAGAAATTTTCTTTTTAATAAGTTTTCTAACAGAGAATATCGTGGAACTTTTCTGGGATCGAAATTTTATTAAAGAGCTATCGACATAATTTCAATGATAAAATAAGAAAATTATTTTGATGATGAAACTATCAAGATCGTGAGAAACACGAAACAAAGCTCATGCATTTTCGATCGTCATGATGTCAATCAGACAAACATTCGCAATGTAAGAATAAAATTGAAAAACATCCTATTAACTTTTTCTGATCGTTCGGAGTGTTATAAAAGTAACAAAAGTTTTGAAATATTGCACCCGAGTACAAGCTTTTGAAAAAGTCAAAAATACAGACTTCCTCAAGCATAGAAAGTTTTCAACATAATCTTAACAAATCATTGCTTCGATTTTCACTGGCAGATGATGAAGAAGGGAGAGCATTGAACTTCAAGGTTCTTACAGTGATCGTTCAAACAAATGTTCTTCGATCACTGTTCCATTATTCTGTTCGAAATATAGCGGCTTTTGAAAGGGATAAAGCTTGACCTGTTTCTTTCCAACAATTGAAATTCTTCACAAAACAAAATTCAAGAAACATTGATCAACTCGTTATTCAAAATTGAAGCATAGCTTCATTAAGATGAATATTAACTCTCGAAATATGTCATTAGTTCGGTTCACTTAAAAGAGCTTGAAAATCTCAAAGAGTTGCATGATTTTCCTTGGATTATTTCAAATAATATTTACTTTTCAATTAGATTGGAGCGAATTTCTAGTTTTTTAAGTTGAAAAAAATCGTTTCTCTTTCGATTTGAGATCCATTTCTGAATGATCATTAAGAATTATTAATTTAATTCTATCTACAAACTGGAAAGACTCAAAGACTGAAATGGGAGAGATTCGCTCAATTCAGCTGTGTCTTTTATGCCTCTTTCGAAACTCAACATACTGTGAAGACTATTCTTTGAATTTAATATGTTGATGGTTCATGTTCGAAAGCTCATAACTCATGCAGTTTATATAAGATCTTTTTTCGATCAATCATGATAAATGATTTTCATTTATCCATATTTTCATTGAAGAGAAAAAAATTCACCATTGGTTAAAAGGAACAACTACTTTTGTAAAACGCGATCTAGAAGGAGTGTTGAAGTTTACAGGGGAGACATATGCATCTCCCCTCCCTCACAGTGGGCAGAAAAAGAGGGTCAGGAGCAATTTCCGGTTGAAATTCGCTTTTGAATCGAGACTATGTGCATTATGTAGGCTCTAATGAGCTATGAACATCCTGAAAAGAGTTCGTGCTTATAACTTATTTTTGTCGAGATATGTNAAAACGCTACATAATGTTTTTCTGAAAATAAAAAGAGAGTAAAATTTTTGTATCTTGATCCCAGGTGATAGTTTTGCACAATAATATGGAAGATCGTTCGGATAAATAAAAACTTGGTATATTCACCTATAATTTAAAAAAATTTTATTGATAAAGTTAAATGAAATAGTAAAGATACACGAAAAAACTTTTGGTCAATGACTTTCAGGACACCCTGTATATTAATTTAATAAGTTCATGATGAACTTTTTCTACTGTTTTTTCAACTTTCTTGATTGTTGTTTGTTTCCATTGCTCAAAAATATCTGATGACAAATAATTTGATTTTTCTATTCTTTGGATTTTCTCAAGAAGTTCATTATGTAAACTCACTATTTCACTATCAAATCTTATCGATATCTATTGTTCATGTTTTTTGAAATCCTTTCAGCAAAAGTATTTTTTCCATCCAGCGCAAAAGGATTTAACCTGAGGTTTATTGCACATTGAGCATAAACTTGTTTCATTTACTGTTGTCATTTTTCTTTGAATAAAATCACTTGAATTATGAAATTTACTATGTGACTATGTCGATCTAAAATGAATTCATAAAGATATTTATAAAAAAAACAAAAAAAAAGAAGTAAAATCATGATTTACTGAATATTCCTGCTTTATAATTTGAATCAAATCTTGTTCGTTTATTTCCAATATGACTCTATATCTATTTAACAAAAACTTATAAAGAATATTCTATTAATTCTCAATGAACAACTAAATTTATAGCTTAATAATTATAGGTGAATTCATGGGATTTCTACCATTTGTGGAAAAAGTTTTTGTTTTTGGATTTTGATATTCTACATAGTTAGACGTAACATCATCGAAAACAGTTAAAGGTATTAGTAAAAACATTTGTTTTCTCAACTATGTTGCAAAATGATGGAATTTTCAACATTTGAAGAGCTTTTAATTCTAAGCATTTTGATAAAAAGCTTTTATTTTGTCAGAAATAGACTAAGAACACTGTGAGCAGTGAAAAATCAAAGCCTTCCAAAAAAAAACAATTTTTTGCGTAATATTGACAAATTGTTGTCGAGTCTTCTTCACTACTAATGGTATTTTGAATCTATTTTTGACAAAATAAAAGCTTTTTCGAAATTTTTTTAATCAAAATGCTTAGAATTAAAAGCTCTACAAACATTGAAGATTTCATCATTTTGCAACGTAGTTGAGACTCTCAACATATTCAATTACAAATACATTGAGTTGTTCCTAAAAAAATGATTTGGATCTCCACATTTTATGTACCAAAAAAAGCTCTAACTATTACTTCTAACCGTTATCGTCAATGTTATGTTTAACTTGAATATTAAAATCGAAAAAAAAATTTTTTTCCACAAAAGTGGTAGAAACCCCACGAATTCACCCAGTACCGATTGGAACCTGCATAAAAATTTCCATATTAAAAAATTAATGAAATGAAATCGTGTTGCTCGATTATTAATTATAGATGTTTGACTATATATTGAAAATTCTGCAACAAATACTTCGACGGATTCTCACCATCAGAAAATTAAATGAAACTTTTGCTGATGATAATGATTTGATCTGATTCACTCTAAGAACCATTTTATATAATTAATCTGATGCAATCTATCAGACTAAGTTCTGAAACTAAAGTACTTCAAGGAAATTTGATCTAAAATATGTTTGAAAGGTATTTTCAAATATGAAAATAATCACTTCGTTTTCGCATCTATTCAAATCGATAAAGAATAATTCTTAAAATTGATGACTTTCTTCTGGTTTAATTAGCATTGTGTTAAAGATACATTTAGAAATTTACGTAAATGCCTAGGATGGCTTGGTGTAATAGGTTCGTCTGCTAGCGACGTCTATCATGGATTAAATCGAATGATTAAAAAAATTCATTTTTATAATTTCATTTTCTTATAAAATAAAAAAAACAAATAAACTAATTTTTATATAAATTAAAAAACAAAGATTTGTTCATTTCTACCAAAAAGCCTCTGTATGAGTAATTCAACATGAACGATATTCGTTTTCTGCTTTTCGTTTCGTCTGTATGCTCCCGCTCCTGTATCATTTACTCAGCAATTATTACCAATGATTGTGAAACCATAATAATATAATTACAAAATTATTACCGTTTTTTTTTCTATAAAAATATCTATGAAAAACAATCATTTTATTCATTCTTATCATTATCAAGCATCGCAGTACAATTGCATGAAAATTATCTATATTTTTAATGGCAAAAAACAACATAGATGAATTGAATTTACTTCGTTCAATACTTCGTTCAGATGATCATCTTCAAATTCGACCATCAGGAGATTTCAATAAAATTTGTTTAAAACTTGACTATAATATTTGTATAAGTTTTTTTCATGATTCACTTAATTCATTAACAATTAATAATATCAATGATTTACATATATCGAAATTGACAAATAAAAATTCAGTTACAAATGAACAATGGATAAATATTCAAGATTATTTTAATAAACTTATTCAAGAATCAAGTGCTAATACGTCTCTTTATTCAATTATTCAATTAATACAAGAATATATTTTACAAATTTCAAAGGAAAATTTTAAATCTAATAAACAAAATTTCATATCAACAATATCTAGATTTAAAGAAGATGCATCAACACAAATAGAAAAATTTCGTAGTGCTGATCTTATATTTAATCGAATAGCACATGATACAACAATTGATCGTTTACAAGTTCTTATTGGTTATGAAGATCGTTTTACAGGTATTCATGAAATAAAATTTAATGAATTTAAAAAAATTCATGAAGATGACGTAAGAAAATTCTTTCATATTATATCATATAAGTATTTGTTTTTTTATTATTATTAGTATGGTATTCCTATGCATCGTATTCGATATTATAAAATTAATGGATCTATTGTTTGGGATAGAACTAAGAAATTTGATATTTTAACTGGAAGTGAAATACATCATGAAACTACTGTTTGTATGTAAATACAAAAAACCGTTTATAGATCATTATAATTCGAAATTTTCAATAAGACTAAATTAAACATTAAAGATTTTGGTTTTTAAATGAATTATTATGAGTTGATTGCTGCTTATAACAGTATTTCAATTTCATTGAATACCAATTGAGTTCATCTTTTTCTATTGGTAAAAACACAACTTTCCGTCTTTTGCAAGAGTTCCTTAACAACGTAAAGAGGCATTAAGTAGCAATAACAACAGAACTTAGGCTGTTTCAGTTTTTCACAGATAAAAATTAATAGATAGAAATGCATTCGTTTGCCATAGTCAATTTAGAATCAACATGAAAATAGTGTATTGAGACGTGCTGTAGATATAATGAACATGTACAAAATAATTTATTTCCTATTTAAATTAATGTTTAGGATAATAATAATGTTACATTAAGAAATACGAAAAAATAGAATACTAGTAAAAAAAAGATTCTGTTCAAAATGCAGAAGAAAATAAGATAGATCGTTTCATTGTTAATAGATTCTTCTTGAAAATCAACTATATAAACCCTAAGCAACTGCACTAACAAGTTTTTTATATTTTTCAGGTAACTTACTGAACGGAGTGTCAATATCGCTAGAGGAATGTCCTGTAGGAAATTCGGTCACAACTAGTCAGAGTTTTCTAGTTTCTCTAATATGATTTTTCTTAGATTAGTCCTTTCAATATCAATTCTATTATTTAATTAAATTGAATTCTTGTTTTCTTTTCTTCTTCTTAATAGGTACTGAACAAGAATCAAATCTAGTTGAAGGACTGTATCGTTATGATCAATCAATTCAACAATGGATTTCATGTTCATATATATCTCTAGCTTCAGATAATTTAAAAACTCCGTCCATAGATAATGTGTTTATTCCAGAACGATGTCAATTTTTAACATGGAATATTCTTTTTGATTATTATCAATCAGAATTTATTTATACGAATCAACGATATGAAGAAATATTAAAAACACTTAAATCATTTTTACCAGATATAATTTGTTTACAAGAAGTAACAATCAAATTTCTTAATCTTTTATTAGATGAAACTTGGTTAAAAGAAAATAATTATTATATTATTATTATGGGAAATATTCTTGAGAATAATCAAAATCAACCTTATGGACAATTAATGTTAATGAAAAATTTTCGACCTCGTGCATTTTCAATATGTCCACTTGATATATCTGAAAATGTAACAAATACAAGAAAAAAACGAACTAAACAATATATTATTGCACGATTTGCATTGAATTTAGACGTAACTATCGATGTTATTAATCTTCATTTACATAGTAATCATACATTGAATGCAAATGAAAAACGTTGTCAATCATTAGAGTATTTTTTTAAAACAATGAATACACAAAATTATATGCTTATTGGAGATTTTAATTTTGGAGATTATGATATAAAAGAACAAAATATACTTCAAAGACGTCAATATCAAATACATGATCTTTGGAAAGATATTTATGATCTTGATGAGGTCGAAAATTTTTCATTAACATTAATTGTCCATAAGGTTGATTTTGATTATNTGAGTTCAAATGATGCAGAGGCATTGTCTACTGTATATCTGATATGTGAATCACTTGTATACTGAGGTTAAATCTCAAGAATAGGCATATTTTATGTAATTTTCATCCAAATTTAATGACGCAGATAACGAGTATTTTTATGGATTGACCCATCAGGGCACATACGTCTATATAAAAACCGATGGGTCAATCCATAAAAATACTCGTTATCTGCGTCATTAAATTTGGATGAAAATTACATAAAATATGCCTATTCTTGAGATTTAACCTCAGTATACAAGTGATTCACATATCAGATATACAGTAGACAATGCCTCTGCATCATTTGAACTCAACAAGATAAAATGTTGAAGTTGCCCTTTTTGAAAGAGAAGGAAATTTCAGATTTCTAAATTTGAAGCTTATTTTAGCGGTTTTCCACAAATTTATTAAAAAGTTATAAACACGTACCTTGTATAACAGATCTTTTTTTTACATAGTCTTACGTGCCCTGATGTCCTCTATCCAACGGTGAAAATCCCAGGTCTCTATCATTTTCCTTTCAAAAGTTATTAGAATTCTGCCCAAGCGACTTATTTTCAGAAATGGATAATAGATAAAACACTACTTATGAATAACTGTTTAAAATATTGTATTCTTCTAGGTTCATGATATTGAACGTCTTATAACTTATGTTCGTTCTCCGCCTATGTTTCAACATCTTCTGACTTTTATTCGTACTTGGGCTCAAAATGTTGGTTTCTATGGTCAAGTTTATGGTTATTTAGGTGGTTATTCATGGGCAATTTTATGTGCTTATATATGTCATAGATTTTTACCATTAAATAATTCTTATTTTTCTATTGAAGAATTCTTTATTTTAGTTGAAAATTTTTTTTTAACTTATTCTCAATTTAATTGGTCATCGAAATCAGTTTGTTTATATTCAAAAAACTATTATTCTGATCAATCATCAATAGAAAATTGTGATTCAATGCGTATATTATGTCCAAGTCCACCATATAATAATACATCACATTCAACAATAGATTCTACACGTTACTTAATAATTCAAGGTTTTGCAAATGTTCATAAAATAATTGAAAAAAATCTACAATATGAAGATACTCTTAAAGAAATTCTTCAATTATCAAATCATTTTCCTGATAAAACAATACAATCAATTATTCAATTAACATTATCGGGTAAAACAATAAGTGAACTTAATCAATGGATTGGTTATATGAAATCTCGTTTAGCACATTTTTTAAATGATTGTCAAAATGAATGTAATTTATTTGTTCAAACACAAAATAATGTTGAAATAAGAAAACAAAATCTTGAAAGATTTTATTCAATTGGTTTTCAATTAAATGAACATATTATAAGTCGTCATCGACAATTTTATTATTGTTTAAATAAATTTCTTGAACAATTTATAATATGTTCATTTCGAAGTGATACAATGAAAATTTCATATAAATTAATGTCTATACATGATTGGAATAGAGAACGTATGAAAACTTAAATTATTGTATTGATCTTTAGGTTTTTTTAATAAAGAAATTTTATTTTATTTTTTTTTAATTTAATTTTGTTTGTATAAATATATTTTGACTTTTTTTTTTTTCTGATTTCACAAAATGTTATCGAATATATTTGTTCGCTTATTAACATCTGTTCGACCAGTTCATAACTATCAACAGCATTTTGTTCGTTTATTAAGTACAGCTGAAACGATTACAAACGAAACTAGTAGTTCGAGTAATCGTGAAAAAGGCGTTGTTAAACGATTTTCCAAAGAAAAGGGTTTTGGTTTTATATCAAAAACTAGTGATGGAACTGATTATTTTGTTCAGTATGATTATGATTGTTTTTCAAATTCTATTTATATCTTTTGTTTATTCAAGTTTTAAAAATATAAATGCAACTGGCTTTAAACAACTTGAACAAGGACAAGAAGTTGAATTTATTGCAACACAAGGTGAAAAAGGATTAGAAGCAAAAGTAAGTTACATTCATTTAAGAAATTATCAATAGAGAATTTATAGTAAAGAAAAATTTTGATGATATATGAAAAGTAATTTTCATAACAAAACAATCGTTGAGTATGTTTTGTTTTTTTCACTAGGTTTTGATAAAAACAAGATAGACAATTGTGATCTTTTAGTATTGAAAGAAACACTGAATTATTGGTTGCAGAGTTTTTTTTTTGATGATCTCAAGTTTTTAGATCGATTGATAAAATTAAATTCCTTCTTTTAGAATTTTCAATGAATCAGTTAAAGACTAGTTAGAAAATAGTTCTAATATATAAGCCTCAAAATAAATCTTTACAGTTTTTTATTTTGAATATATTGTTTCTATAAAAACATATTTAAAAAAAAAAGAACAAACTTTACTCATTCTGAAGAAGCTTCAAGTTTCATATCATCTTGTATATTTATATTTTAGTCTGCACTAGAAATATGAATAAATAGATCAAGTACAATGAGAGCACCTTCATCATCACTACATTCACACGGCCTAAATATTGTGACTGTCTTCTCAATTTGTTTTACAATTATAATCACTACTAAAACCTTAGTTCACAAGTACTAGTCAAGTTAATTGTTGCTAAGACAGGTGTTGGCATCAGTCATCTGTGTGTATCCTTTTAGGTAGAGTTATTAATGGATAAGATGAGTTAAAAGTACTGAAAATCGTGATGAATAATGCGAAAGCTGCATCACATTCAATCTAAAACATATCTTAAATCGGCTTGTCCAAACGTAACGCTGTTACGTTTTTGACACACTGTTCTTCAATTAACTCGGAAGGTTTAACAGCTAGAAAGTTCATTCAAACGCCATTCGACACAGCTTATGAAACTCTATTTATGCTATAACAACGACCTTTTTCGGCTAAAGTCTCGAACGTCTAGAAAGGTTTTATTATCACGTAACACTGTTACATAAAAAGACCCTTTTTTTCCAGTATCGCCGAGAAAACTCTAATTTCTAGCGAAACTATTTCTCCAAATGAAAACTTTACAGAGTCAGTTTTGTACAGCATCGAACAAGCTTTTAGGGAGTAAAAAAGATTTTTCCTAAAGCATTTTTGCTCAGATGAAAAATGCAAAATACAAACGTAACGCTGTTACATAGTTTTTTGTGGACCAGTTTTGAGGCACTTAACATATTTAGAATGGTTTTCTTTTTATAAATGTTACTCATTTCCGTGTAGATAATCTTCTACATAAGAATGAGATTGATACATCGATCCGAGACCTCATAAACCGGACAGTAAGTTGGAAACTGTGTAAGAGTCTGCAATTTGTCTTTACTTACGAAAGTCAAAACTAGATAGGCCATTTTGTAGAGAATTAAATTCTGCATCGAATGTTATGTCTCTCAATATTTTTTCAAAAATTTTTTTGGTTAAAAAATTCAAAATATGATTTTTCACAAGTTTAAAACCCGGTTTTTGATTCTAAAACCTAACTTTTTTTACAAAATAAATGTCAAATTCGTAATCAGCGTTAAAAATTGCATCTAGTAACGCATTCAGATTTGTCCAACTCGAAAAAAATTTTTTTTCGAAACTTGATCAGCGAAGTGTCGCGTTACGTGGAGAAGCCGAAATACTCATTTAAAATATTTCGCAAAAGACTTTATAAATATCTTAACGAGGATTTTTAATTCCGATTCGACACAGTTTTCTTTCTCGTAGTCCTTAGTTCAGTAAGTTTTCATTTCACATATCTCTAGTTTGAGGTCTAATATCTGTAAAGAATGAATTATCATTAAAAATCTACCGTTTGCAACGTGGTACCGAAAAGACAGATTTATTTTACTTCATACATTTTCATTTTAAAATACTACAAATTCAAACAATACTGTTTACAAAAAACCTAATTAGTTTCTATTATAGAGAACTCTTCAAGCTATAAAATCTTTCGGCGAAGTGTTTTTTTGCACATGCTTAGATTTTTCAAAATGTTAGGTACATAAGAAAGCACTTATATAACAAAAAAAAAAGCACTTTTTTCGAATTGACGAGCCTATATTTATATATATTTAAGTTCATAGTAGAAGAACTTATGGAGAAAAATAATTCTCGTTAAAGAATCAAAACGAAAGATACTTATATCCAGTTTTAGCTAAAATGGTTCATATAACTCTTTTGATGATAAATTAAATATTTACTTCTCATGAGAACATACGATATGCTCATAGTGATATTTTCAATTTTGAATAAATGATAATATTTTCTTTGTTTTTTGTTACTTATAGGATGTTAGTATAATTAGCAGTGGAACCGGTCGTAAGTCAGTTTTTGAACGCTCATTCAATAATGATTTTCCTCGATCAAAAACAAATTTCGATACCTTTTCAAGAAACAAATCATCATCATCATCACCTTTATTTAATTTTGGTGGTACTGAATCTTCTAAATTAAAGTCTAGAGAACAAGAATCAACATCAACAGAACAACCTTTTAAATTTAGTGAGAATTTAACAAGTTCTACTAAAGATAATTTCTTTTCTTCAAAAAAATCACAAATAACTTATGAACAAAACCGTGAGTTAGGTTCAGTAAAACGATGGACACCTGAACGAGGTTTTGGTTTTATTCGACGAACCAATAGTAATAAAGATCTTTTTTGTCATGCTCGAAGCCTTAAAGATGGTGTACAATCACTTGAACCGGTAAATATTCAGCAATTTAAATATGAAAAAAAAAATCAACAAATAAATTTCATTTTTTCTTAGGGACAAACAGTTGAATTTAGTATTCATCAAACAGACAAAGGTGACGAAGCACGTGATGTTGTTATTGTGAAAGACGAATTTCTTGAAAATGAACAACAAGATACGATTTCAACTGCAAATCTTGGTGAACGTCAAACAGGCATTGTCAAAAAGTAAATATTAGAATTTCGTATTATTTTATTTTTATCTTAATAAATCTTTTTAGATGGTTAACAGGAAGAGGTTATGGATTTGTACAACGTGATAGTGGCGGATCCGATGTATTTGTACATGTTCAAAATCTAAGTAATGGCATTCAATCATTAGAAGAAGGGCAAACTGTTGAATTTAATGTAACAAAAAATGAAAAAGGCGAAGTAGCACAAAATGTAACAATTCTTAATGAAAGACAGAATGAAAAAAGTGAACAATCAGAAAATGTAACTGTTCGTAGTGAAACATTAAAATAAATTTGTTTTTTGTTTTGAAAACTTCAATAAATATAAGAAGAAAATAGACCCTAAAGGATAGAAGAATATTTTTATTCTAATATTCATTTCATTTGTTTGTTTGTTTTTTTTTCTTATTGAAGAAAATTATAATAAAAAGAAAAAAATGAAAAGAAATCGTAAATTAATTGAACATGCCAAAAATCTTTCTTCATCTGATCTTTATAATTTTATTCTTCATTCCAATAGACATATATCAAATAATTATCAAATTGAAATATATCATGGTGAAGAATTATTAAATGAATATAAAAAACAAATTATAGAATTATTTGAAATCAATATGAAAACATTATATCAACAATCAAATCATGATTATAATATTAATGAAAAAAAAATAGAATTATTTTCTAATCAATCAAGATATTTACTTATTTTATCTTCAAATAAATTATTAGCATTTGCACATTTTCGTTTTGATATTGATTATGGTTGTCGTGTTTTATATTTATATGAATTACAAGTAAATAAAAATTATCAAGGACAAGGTCTTGGTCAATGGATAATAGAACAAATGAAAATATTTTGTCAAAAAACACAAATGTTAAAAATTGTATTAACTGTTCATAAAGTTAATAAGAAAGCAATTGATTTTTATATGAAAAAATGTCAATTTGAAATTGATGCTTCGGATCCGAGTGATGAACCTGTTGACTATGTTATTCTTTCTTTCACTATATAATTTTTTTTGTATATTACGATAAAATTTATTCATATTTGATGTTTTTGACTATAATAGAAGTTGAATATAATCTAATGAATGGAATTCGAGATGTTTACCAAAGAATTGACAAAAGGAAATAGATGATTATTGGGAATATAGGATATAATCCATTGAAAATGGTGATTTCCTTTTTGATACAATAGGAAATGAGAAAATAAACGAACATAGGCATTTCTATATATAAATGCAAAGAAAAGTATGATAATAAATGTGAGATCTTTTATTCATCATAAATATGTTTCCTTTCGGGTTTCGTTTTTTCTTGAATTAAACACTTTTGTAATATTTATTTTATGATTGAAAGAAGAGTTTGATTTCAAATTTAATACTATTAACTCTTATCTTGAATGTTATTGATAAATAAAGTGATGTTCAAAATAAATTCCATGCTTTTAGTCGAAATTTTTGTAGAATGCTCTGAACTGCTGGGAACCCTTCGATATTCTTCTATAGAGTTATTAAGAATGAAAAATAAACCAATTAATTCTGTTCATGCCCATGCGTTTGAGACGTTTTTACATGTCGCGAAAGACACCATAATACCTCTGATGGTAGTTTAAATTTTGGTTCACTATCACTGAAATTTCATAATTTATTTGCAGCAAGTATCGTATCTATCGAGTGTATAATTGCTTTCTATAGTTAAAATAGCTGTAAACATGTTTATTGTTGGAAGATTGGAAAAAGAAAATACGTAGTATTTTATTGCAAAATTGACATCGTTTTTTATATATGAGGTGTACGATTGAATTTTGAATATAACTGTATGAATAAAATCAATGCATTTTCAATAGTTACTGAGGTTCCGCATTTTTGTCGAACCAACTCTAATAGCAAAATGTCCTTGAAATAAATTATTGATTGATTCAACAGAATTTTATCCCTTTTAACATCTATGAATAAATGTATACTCTCATTATTTCTCAATCAATGCGAATAGATTATATTTTTATCATTAACTTGTCCATAGACAAAGAACGGCAACCAATATTTACAACATTATATGTATATAATGACAATCATTAACCAAGTAAAAGAAAAGTATTGTTCTTCATCGTGCTTACGATTACTGCAAGCAAAAATCTTAAACGCTTTGTAAAAAGAATTTTTTGACATTTTGTATGTTGAGAGAAAAAAAAAACAATTTAGAAAATTTTGAAGTTTAATGGAGTTTCTTTTATCATGATGAAGTTCGAGTCGAAAATTTAATTTTTATTTCAGATTTGTTAATGTTTTTTAAACAGATATTATTACTTTTTTTCTTCATCTACTTACAACCATTATTTTCATCACAAATTATTGATATTGTCTTTACTGTAAAAAATCTCGCTACAAATGAACGTTTACAATTAAATTTTTTTACATTAATCACTTCATTATTTCAACATACATCTATAGACAATCTACGTTTGCATGTTATTGGTGATTTCGATAGTCATCATTTTGTTGATCAAACTCTTCAAAGTCTTCATTATAATCATCAAGTAATCAAGACTCTATAATTTAAAAAAAAAATCTCGATTATTTTTCTTTCTATTAAGATAAATAAACTAAATATCAATGATTTAACATCAAAATATGAAAAATTAATCTCACTATTAATTAAACATTTCTCATCAGGACATACATATTATAAAGATCCTTTATTTTTTCTATCGCCATTTTTACATCGAATTTTACCAGAAAATATTTCTCAAGTTATTATGCTTGATATTGATCTTCGATTTGATAATGATGTAAAAGAATTGTATAAATTATTTAATGAATTTAATCAAAGTCAAATATTAGGTAATAAGAAATTTCAAGTTTCATCTATCGAATTATTTTCAATTATATAGGTATTGCACGTGAAAATCAACCTGTTTATCGACATCTTCTTTGGTTATATCGTCAAGAAAATCCTCATAGTAATATTGGTAATCCTCCACCATATGGCAAAACAGGTTTCAATAGTGGTGTTCTATTACTTAATTTGAATAAAATTCGTCAATCAATTTTATTTAATAATTATTTAGACAATTCATCTCTTATTGAACAACTTATTCATAAATATCATTTTAATCATCCACATTTAGGTGATCAAGATTTTTATACATTATTAAGTTTTGAACATAATGAATTATTTTTTATTTTACCATGTTATTGGAATAGACAATTATGTACATGGTGGAAAGGCAAAGGTTATGATGATGTTTGGGAAAATTATTTTAATTGTAATAATGAACAAAATATTAGTTTATATCATGGAAATTGTAATACACCAATACCAAGAAGAATTCTTAATGAAAAACTTGAACTTTGAGAAAGAAAAAAAAAAAGGAATATTCTTGTCTTTATGTGTATTATGTTTTTTTTTGTATGTTCCTATGGTTGAGAAGGAAAAGAAAGAAATAAAAATCAGAAGTAGTAGTGTCTCACAGTTGTGTAAGGTGAGAAATAAAACACAACATTCCAAATTACTTTGTAGTTGTTAGCAACGACTATAGTGTGTAAAAAGTTAAATTTCTATCAAGATTGAAATAGATGGTAAGTCAAATATGATAAGAAGAAGAAAAAAAAGACTAGATAAGTGAGAAATATTAATTTAGGAAGACGAAGAAAATTCTCAATTAGATGCTAATATGGATAATGAAGATATCGATCAAGAAATGAGTAAGAAATGTTCTTTTGTATATATATATATATAAATAATTATCTATGGTTTTTTGCTTTTAGTCGCATTAAATGAAGTATTTTCAAGATTTAAAGATGATCCTAATGACGATTTTATTAATATTAATCGTTTAACTCAAATTTTACAAGCATTGGGTAGAAATCCTTCACTAAAAGATTCTGAACAAAGAATTAATGAACTTGAAGCAACTGGTAAGACAAAAGTTCTTATTCTAACAAAAAAAAAAAGAAAGTTTGCTTTTTCCGATAGATTCTATCAAAACATGTTTGCCTCTCCCCCTGCCCTAGACCTTTGTAATTGATAGGAAGAGGGGAGTTAAAGATTTTTCAATACGTTTCCATAGTAATGGTCGTGGAAGGTCAACGATCATTTGGTACATTTACCTAGCAACGGGAAAAGACGCGTCAGTAATAGCAAGACTTGAGTTATTTTGAAACTTAGTAGAATCTTTTAAAAGCAATTCTATGAATTCAAAACTTCTGTTCTAGATTCAAATGCAAAAATTTTCGAAATGGTAAAATTTCAAAGCGCGTGTATCCATTATAAAAATTGTTATAATTTTGATTTCTTTTTTTTCATTTATTTGGTTTTAACTTTTTTGACAATATACCATAAATTTGTAACAGTAAGAGTTTGTGAGTTCTACACATTGGCCACTTAAAAATAACTTGAAAAAAGAATCATTGTTATTTTATCAACGAAAAAAAGTTACCTATAAACTATTTCATGTACTTATAACGGATAGTATTCATTGAGCATGACAACTTCCTTTCCAGTAATTAGAAATATAATTTTTGAAAGCATTTCAAAATGTTGAATTTCCTGAATAAGTTTTTATCATTTCACTGATTTCATAAGCTTTATTTTGCAAATGATGACAAAAATTATTGTATGAACAATAATAAAAAAATTTATTTTATCTTTTCTAAGGAAAATTTGAATTAACACTGGAAGATGTTATACAAATACTCAATGAATCATGGACAGTAATTAATAATGATCGTGATGGTCTTCGACAAGCCTTTGAAAAATTTGATCCTACAAAAGAAGGTTATATTGATATTGAAAAATTTCGAACAGTAATGACAACACTTGGTGAACCATTAGCCGATGAAGAATTAGAAGATCTTATTCAATTAGGTTTAAATGATGAACAAACAAAAATAAATATTGATTGTAAGAATTTATTTATTTCCTTAATATTAATTTCTTATTTCTTTTTATTTTAGATTTACTTGATCAATTACTTGGCAACAATACATAATCATTTTAATATCATTTTGCTTTTCTCTTTTTTTTTTTTTCTTCTCATTATATATCTAATGTGATAACAAAAAGAAAAAAAACAACAACAACAACAAAAATATAAATAACAGTATCTGGCCTTGAGCAGCAATTTGAAAAAAAAACAAGACTTCAAGCAAATTAAAGGAGATGAAAGAAAGCACAAAAGAGAGAGAAAAACGATTAGAACACATTATACATCATGGGATAATTGTCTATGAATACCATTGGATTTTTCATCGGTTTTAAGAAAACTTGTGGTATTTTTAAGTGGACATAAATAATAGAAATCAGGTTGAAATTCATCAGGAACAATAGATGATGATATATGATTATCTATATGATCATTTCCTGTTTCTTGATGATTTTCATGTGTATTTGATATTTCATTTGTCCATGGATATGTTAAGATTTCTTTTAAAATTGTATGACTTTGATCATCAAAATTTGATAATGGAGGAGAATTAAGAGATTGTGATGAACGATTGGAATGAACATGATGATGAGTATCATTTGTTAATGGCCATGAAGCTGATATTAAACCAGCTGAACTTGATGAATCAGCTGATGTTGTTGTTGTTAAACTCGATACAGAAAACTAAAAACAAATAATTAATATATTGTTGTTTTATTCTAAAAATATTTTCTAAATGAATAAATTAAAAATAAAAATTTAACCTGTTCAGCGCGTAATAATTCTCCAACATGATCATCACTTGAACAACTTGATGCATTTTCATGTTTCCACTAATGAATAATTTAAAAAAAAAAAAAACATTCTATTAAATAATTCAATCTTATTATTTTACCTGTGGATTATTTGGTGATAAATTAAATGATTCAAGTTCTGAATACCAATCAAGTTCTTCATCAACTTGTAAACGATTTAACTCATCATCACGAATAATACTATCACTACTACTGTTTATTTTCATTTGATTGTCATCTAGTTCATCATCATCATCATCATCATCATCATCATCATCGTCAATTGACTGAAATCGATTATCATCAAAATAACATGTATTATTCACAATATCATCATAATTACTATCAAGCCAAGCACGTAATTGTGAATCAGAACCATATGTTGTTAACATATAAAATTCCATTGAATAATCACGTATTGTATCTAAATGATATACATTATGATTAATTTCATTATCTTTTGAACAAAGTTTTTGATAAATATCCGAATCTGATAATATTCGACGATAAAATAATATTCGACCAAGACGTGGTGGAAATACTAAACGATGCACAAGATTTTTATCTTTTTTTAATGTTATAGATGCTTTTATCAATGGTGAAATCGGTCGAGATAATGATGATGATGTTGTTTTATTTAATTGACTGTCTTCACTACTTAAATTATCATCAATCAAAAGAAAATATCGTCCATCACTAGCCATTTGAATATCTTCTTGTCGAATAGGACCATTATATAAAGCTGGACTTGCTGATATTTCACTTTTTAATGGTACTATATGTGATATATTACTTTCACATGATGAACGTATACGTGACCATGATGTTACAGATGATGATGCAAGAATATCTTCATTCGATGAACTATTTTGTATATTATCGTTGTTAATTGTCGAAGTTAATGCATCTAAAGAATAGAATATGTTTTTCTTTGTTCTTGTTTAATGTAAATGGAATAATATAGTGTCAGCTTTTTAATGATTAATAGGAGAGAATGAGACAATGATAATGATTTTTTCGTCAGTGACATTCTCCGCTTAGAAAATATTTAATAATTATACATATGGCAGACATTGGTCTATTTGAAGAAGGTTAACATTTTGTTAGATGAAATACAAATCGTTACTTTTTTTTTTCGTCATATGAGTCTCTACAGTTAAGCGTATAGAAAATATTAGTAGTCGAATGTTTTCGAAAAAAAAATACTAAATATTAATATTTTCTAATAATATTTTATGGTCCTTTTCATAGAGGATATGATAAGGCATGTTTTTATACTTAAACTACGTACATCCGAAAAACACGTTCTTATTCAGAAGAAAAACCTTCATATGATATATTTAGATTAGAGTTCGTTGTGTTGGACGACGTACTCGAAAATTTTCGATCCGACGGGCTCTAGTCGTCTGAGAAATGTAAAGGATGTGTGCTAGTCACTGAATATAAATTTTAAAAAAATGGAAAAAAAATAATCTTGTATTTTCGGAGTGATTCTTCAGTTTTGAATAGAAATTTCTATTCAAAGTATCAAAGAACGACTCAATCAGGTCTCGATCTGAAAATTTTGGTTTCGACAAGTTCTACTTGAGACATGCATTGATATGTGATAAAGAAAGAAAAAAAGAAACTTACTGCTATTAAGTAACTTTCTAATATGATAATGTTCGTTAAGACTATCTTCAGAAAGATCATGTGTAATAACAGAATTAGTAGACGATGAATCATCATTTTTTATAATGATTGAATTATCAAGAGATTTCTTATGTGTTATTTGTCCTGTTGATATCGGAGTTAAAGTTGAAGGTGTTTCATCAATATTTGATTCATATGATATTTCATTAGATACTGCTGGTGGCTGTGGTGACGGTGATGGTGATGATGATGCTTCAGTAGTTAAATGACAAGAGAAAAGTTTTAATTCTTGACTGCGAACAGGTCGAATTAGTTTAACAGAATCTGTTGAAAATAATGAACGTCGAATATTATTCACTATTGGTGGTGGGAAAATAATTGTTGATTTTAATTCAATATTATGTGATGTTTTATTATTAGTATTATGTTTTTCTGCCATTAATGCATCAAGATCAGAAACACGAGGAGTTGCTACTGATGATGATGCAGATTGAACAACAACAGATGTTCGCGTTTTAATGTTATTATTAGTTGTAATATTTGTATTATTATTCAATTTATGTTTATTAACAGTTGTTTGTGGTATTCGTGGACGTATTACTGTACCAGTAGCAGATCGTAATTTTTCAGGTGATTTTGATAATGTATAATGAGGACGAATTGATTTATTTGTTGTTGGTGATGATGAAATTGTTCGTTGAGATGTTGATGTCAAATTTGAAGGATGAAGTTGAACACGTGGCGAACGTTGTTGAATTGGTGTTGTTGATAGTAATGGTGCCGGTGGTGGTGCTGGTGGACGAGAAGGACGAATAGGTGGAGTATTTGCAATCTAAATTGTATAAAAAAGAAAAGAAAAAAAAGGAGAAAAAGAAAAAAATGATAATATTATTAATATTCATGAGACGGTTGTTTTTTTTTGCTGCTTCCTCTCTCTCTCTCTCGCTCTTGTGCTTACGCGAGGAGACCTTGATGTATATGTTGTTGTCTTTGTCGGTGTATTTTTAACGATAGGCGATGTACGACGTGGTGTTAATACAGTATGTGTGCGAGAAGTAGACTGTTGATTTGTCGTCGTTGCATCAACTGTTGATGGTATCTGTGTTGGTAACCTTTCATGGTTGGAGTTGATGCGTTGCTGTTGTGTTTGTCGATTTTTATTTAATGTCGTTGTTGTTGCTGATGATGGCGATAGATATTGTTGATGTACAGGTGAAGAAATTTTCTTATTATTAATATTATTATTATTATTGGTTCTATGATGTTGTTGAAGAACATATGTTGTAGAACGTACAGGTGATGATATTGGACGACGATTATTTAATGTTGATGATGGATTATCAATAGGTATGTTTTGAATATTTGCTGAACGATGTTTATTACGCATTAATACTGGTGGTGTTTTTTCATTATCACCATCAGCTTTATGTGATGCAAAATAAAATTCATTAGTAAGACCTGTTGTTGGAATACGAGATTTTGTTTTAACATTAGCCATTGTAGAAGAATAAACACTTGATTGACTTTCACTAATGTGTAAGTCTATGAATAAAAGAAAAAAAGAAAATGAAACAAAGATAATTATAATTATATTATTTATAAAACTAAAATGATTGATCTATTTGTTTGAATCTTAACTAATGATTTATCTTTCTTACCAGTACAACAAAGTGCTCTATAGAAACGTTTTTTATTTCGACGTCTTTTTGATCTTGTAGAAAAAATTTCTGTTGGCTGCTGTAATTTCATTTGTCGAAGTGCTTCGAAGGCCATTTGTCTTCGTTGTCTATTCATTGTACGAAATTTAAAAGGTGATGATAAATGTGTTTTACTACAACAATTAGCTAATAAACTATCACATTCACCATAATAATATTGTATTGAATCGGGTTCATTTATATTATTATTATCTAATAAAACCATGTTTTTTGTTTTCTTGACTATACACCGAATAAGAATAGTTATTGTGTAGTGTTATTCTTTTCTTTTTTTTTTTTTTTTGATGAGAAAAGAAATTCGATTGTGAACGAAATGATTGGAAAGGTAATACGCGTTCGCTCTTAATCTTGATTTATCCCATTTCGGACAACGTCCCGAATTATATGCTTTGTTTTTTGTTATTGAGCGACAAATAGATGATAATAGGATAAGAGAGAAGAGAAGAGAAGAGCCAGTGAACACAAAAGACAAACGACGTATGTGAATAAATGTCTATCAGGGGCGATGAGACAGAAAAAGAGTAACGAAAATGACAAAGAGAAAAAGCTTTACTTTTTCTAACCGTTATGACAATAATATGAAGAGAACACACGAGTAGTCGGGGTTATTAATTAGAATGAATAAAAGCTTAAATCTGTTTGTAAGCGAGTAGTATCTATATATATATATATATGCATAAATGTATATTCACGTTCGACTTTTGTTTCTGTACTTTATCAATATGTTATTGATGCATGAGCACGAATGACTTGTTCGGTCTTACGAATGTATGACATACGAATAAGTACCGCCCAATTCCGAGACATATATATGTATTGTCGTTATGCTGTATCGTGACATACATGCAACAATCACAAAGATGGATACATTTGTATGGTATCAACTCTTTCTTCTCTCTTTGCATATATCAAATTTCATTCAATATTATTACTATTATTATTATTATTATTATTTCAACAAGCTAAAAAAGATTGATTCTGATGACTTTCAAAAGAGAGCAACAGTATCCAATAGAAATGTACGAACAAGTCAATTGTCGAATGCTTATTATAACATAACTTATTTTATTATTGAATATGAGGGACAGAAATTCATGCATGTGCAATGTACATTATATTTCTTCGTTTTTTTTTTTTGCTTTCTCAAGAGGATATATTAATGTAAATATTTCAACCAATACAATTCAATGTGTGTCTTTCTTATGAAAAAAAAATTAAATTGGCCGTGTGAAGGTAATGACTTTCTTGTTGAACTACAGAATTAATTTTTTTTAAATCAAATATAATAATTTCCGTTTTCTTTTGTACTATATAATCTATGTTTAGCATAAAGTAAACTACAAATAAATTTAACTTAATGCATCATTAGATTTTTTTTCCCCGCCTACTTATAATAAGGCTTAAATAATATTTTTTTAAATTAGTATGTAAATGTTCGTGATTCATATTTATTTAACATAAGATGTTATTTCTTTTTTAAACTTCATTGATTTTTTTTGTTTTCATGACTTATTTAAATAAAGTATGCAGAATCTGAAACAATATTATCTTACCTTGTCTAGGTTTGTCGGGATTTTTTCTCTCTATATATTTACTCAAATAACATGCATACTTTTTTTCTTCCTTTTTTTTTTTCTTTCTTCTCGATTTTTTTCTGTTTTCTTTACGGCATCATTTCATGTCCGTTTTTCTCTCCATTAGTGTAATTCTACATCTTCTTTTCTTGTCTTTATAGAAAATCATCGAAGCTTGCTTTTCTCACTTCTTTTTTTTTTTTTCTATTGTAGTTTTTTTGTCGTTCAACATACACACACACTTACTCTTTTTCTCTTTCTCTATTATTATATCTAATTATTTATGGGTATCTATGCGTATAATAGAAATGCAAGCAGTAAATTACATCATAATTCTCCTATATTATATATACGTACGTGATGGTTGATTTGTTGTCTTTTGCTCATTCTCTTCGACAATCATTAATTGTTGATGAAACCATGTAGATTGGTCATTTGTGGTATGTCGATTTTCAACATTCTGAAAATGAAAGGAGAATATGAGTCCTTTTTTAATGATTCCATGTATCAATACCGATGGATTGGATGTCAATTGACATGAAATACTACGTTTGCTTTGAATTATTGATTCATTCTGAATAAAAGAAAAAAAAAGGCAGAGATCGACATATGGTTAGCGTAAAATAAACATGTTGCTTACTTGTTGTGTATTTTTTCTCATTTGAACTGTATCAATCGCATGATGTAAATTTGTACATTGTTTTCTTAATTCCTATAAATAAAAATCATAAAAATAAAAATATATCAAAGAAATGTTCGTGCATTAATCTAATAAATAATTTTTCTATTTTGATAACCTACCTTACTTGATAAATGACCATTACGTGACAAAACACATTGACCAAAAAAGTTTTGAAGTAACCAATTTTTACGTCTCGTCATTTTCTTTATCTAGTCTCTCGTATTATATCTAGGATAATTTATAGTCGTGCTTTTTTATGTATTCATGGAATAAAAAGAAAACTGAATTGTACCTTAACGCTTATTCACTTCTTCACAAAAAAAAACTATATCTTATTGTTAGAGTTACAGACGTATAAAAGACGAAGGGATAAAAAAATTTTCTTTTTCAGCATTCATATATATACTCAAGCTAAAAAATATTTATCTCATGCATTAATACTATCAATCAAAATCAATCTTACGAACAGTTTTGTTTTTTAAAGACAATCAAAAAGAAAAAAAAAACGAACGAACTGACGCAGAGAGCCTATCATTTCATGCACATGTTTCGCTGTTGTAATAGTGGTGAAAAGAAACGATGATACAATCAGACAAGATATAGAATATATATATATATAATCAACAAAAAAAAAACTGAATGATAACAGTTGTAGATATTTGAGAGAGAAATAGACATACACTCATTCATACAGTTGATTATAGTTCAAACTACTGCTGAAGTAACAGGCACACGTCAATTAAACAAAAAGAAGTTTGTGATAAGACACGTAACACACTTGTCTTTTGCTTTTCAGTTAAAGCAAAAGAAGAGAAGAACACTTCTGTATACATACATATGCATAAAAGCATCAGTCAATGTCAAACTATGACAGTAAATGAAGGTCATGAAAATTTAAAATTGTCTGAGATTTAAAAATTCAAGTGAAATATTTGTTCTTTTTTTTTGTTGGTCTATTATTCTTTAATTTTTTTGATTAGACAGTCAATTTAAAAGATTTATCTAATAATTAGATGAATTAATGAAGTAAAGTTAAAAAAAATAATAAAACTTTATTATTTTTAGTAAAGATAAAAAAAAAAGAATTTTAGACGTAACCCTGGAAAACATTTAAATTCAACATAAATAGTTACAAGACATAGAAATGCAAAAAAAAACAAGATGTTTTAATCTAACATGTAGAGCTACATAGTGTACTGCTCGTAGGTAACTTTTTTTCTCATGTCGATTATGTATCTAAACAACGATCTGCACTTTTATATTAAACTGTAAAAGTTTATGAGTGCAACATAAAGTCTAAAAAAACCTATTTTCTATTTTGTCTTTAAATATATCGATGTAGAATTTTTCAAAGATATGAACTACTTTTCTTTATTGATTCATATATATATGTGAAAGAGTTTATTGGTAAATAATAGTTTGAACGTGTGATTTTGGCTTGTATTCATCATAAAATATTAATATAACATTCCTATCTTTCGGTTAGCTAATAAAATATAATTTCTCAAGAGAGGAAAAAAAAGCTTTTTTTCTTTGCCCCTCGCCTTTCTTTTTTTTTTGTTTATTAATATCTTACCTCTTGAGTAAAGAGTGTTTTTATAATTAGATCAGTAACAGATCCTATACATTTTTCACTTTGTTTTTGATATGCTTGATAATTTTCATTCAATCGACGATTTTCATCTTCTAAATGTTGAATACGTTTTAGTAAATAAATTTGTTCATCGGCAATCCATTGTTGACACTAAAAATAAACATATAAGATATATAGAATTTAAGAATTGAAAATTATGACGAAATAATAACTTACTCTTTCTTCAAGTTTATCGAATCGTTCTTTTAATATACGATTCTCATTTAATAATTTATCCATTGTTATATTAACTGTTTTAAACTAGAAAAATAAATAAATAAATAATCAGTTTAAAAAAAAAATAAATTTTTATTTTACTTCATTATCAACGAATATAGATGAACGACTTCGATGAATATATCGTTTACTTGAACAATGTAGTCGATTCTTCCAACGACGAAATATTGAACTCATACTGTGAAACCAGTTGATCTAGAAAATGAACAAAGAATTCATTAGAAAATCAATAAATAAACAAACTAAATGAAAGATATTAATGAAGAATGCGAAGTATTTCTTGACTATCCTCTCAGTGCTTTTTCTTATTCTTATTACCTGAGGTTTTTACTTTCCTCAGGATGCTCCAGACAACAACAGAAATTAGCCGATAGCAAGAGTGAAGAAGTATGCGTTTGCCAGCAGTTGGTTGAATAAATAAAAAAATCTCTTTTTTTTTCCCTTCTTCTCTTCTTCTTCTTTTCTGCTACAACTACTCAACTATGGCTCGTTTGCTTTACCTCAACAAAAAAAAAAAAAAGAAAAAAAAACAAGAAAGTAAGCGAACATGGAAGAAAATGCAAAAGAAAGACGTACACATCAATGTCAAATATTCAATAAAGAATATTAAAGATCAATTTATCCGTTAAATTCAAAATTTTTTTTTTTATTCTATTACTGCGCTTATCTTATTCATCTTTTTGATAAATTTGTCTCTTTACTCATCGATAACTTTATGTCATAACTTACTAATCGATAGACTTCATATATATATATATATATATATACGTGTTTCTCATGAATGATCTACACTCATCTGACATTTCAAAAAAACGAAAGACAAGCGAAATAAGAGATGTGTCGTATGCAAAGAAAAAAAATTCGTGTGTATTGAATTCCATGACAAGTTCACATAATGACTCGTTTTTTTTTCTTTTGTTCATATTCATGCTCATTGCATTTATTCAATTGTTAGATGACAAACACCTAGAATGTTTAAATGGCATTCAAACGTACTTATATAGCTATTTGTCTGCTTGAATGTTCATATTATTGCGTGTACTCAGTTTCGATTCGATCACTTTTCTTTTATTAGTATTAATGGGAAAGAACCATCACTATTAATTCCATCTTTTTGGTAGTTCTCTCTACTTCGATATATATTATATATGATGTAATGACTCTCGTTCATGAAACATTTCAAAGATCGCCGACCTGATTGTCAATCGCGTGTATAGTCTCAATTGAAAGGATTTGTCTTATGAATTTTTTTCGTATTATTCGGCATCTATATACTTACTTGAGTATGTATAAAAGAGACTCAACATTGCATTTCGCATCACTAATAAAATATTGCTTAAATACATGTTCCATGTCGATAGATCGATTAGTGTTCACATACAATAGAATAAAGATTTAACAAAAAAAAAAAAAAGAAAGAAATTTCTTTATTCCATTGTAAATCATCTCATTTGCTTGTTCAAGTCAATTTTTCTTTTTTTTTTTCTGCAATAAACAAGTATAAAAATGACTTACGATAGTAAGATAGATTAGTTGAAGAATAGTTTGAATAAGTTTAAGTAAAGGCATGATGATAAGAAAACTAAGTAGACCAAAATCAATAAATATTGCGTATGTCATCAATATTTTTGGTGACCATTTTGAATTAGTTTCATTATTCATTGTTAACATTTACTTGACTCATTTGGCGACATTCGGTTCAAAGTTGAATTCAATAGAAGAAACAGATGGAGACGCTGTGAATATATGTTTTAGCGCACTAATGCCATGTGTACGTATAGAACAGAATGGATGGAGACGCATCATATTTCTTGAATTGATCGATAGAAGAGAACAAAAAAAAAAACGCCAACGAACGACGAAGAGATGCAAAGCTGTGTCTCAATATATATTTTCTTGTTTTTGTGTCCCATAGACTACATCAGTTGAGTATATTGTTCATCGAGCACAGCGACACTTCTGAGACAGCAATGACGAACAAAAAAAAAAAATCTAAAGAGAAGAAAGAAAAAAAAAATCTGCCTTCATTTCTTAATCTCTTGTGGTTAAAACATTTGTTATTTTTTTTTTTATTATTCAATACTGTTTTTTTTTTTTCAATTATCTTATATATATCGAAAGAGAATAAAAAACATATACTGTTTACATTATATTATCATAACAAATAATTAATTCATACTATCATTTTACATCATAATGTAAGACTATTATTACGCGTATTGATTGAATGAAAAAATCACAAGTAATCTACTAAATATGAATCTAGTTTTTTCATTTATTTTAGAGTAGAAGCTTTTTTTTTTCTACCTTCTAGAAAATGTTTATTAATTATAAGCGAAGAAAAAAAAAATCGTTTCTGTTATTAATTAGTTAACATTTATATATGTGTTGTGAACACTTCTAATAATTGCATGTATTTCCTCATTCTCTTCACAGATTGTTACTATAATTTTGCCCTTGGCAATGGCATTATCGAGTATAAATATTGTATAATCATGAAATAAATTCATATTGTTTAAAAAAAAAAAGAAACAAAAGTCATATTAATTGATATAAATAAATAAAAATATTTATAGTAATTTAAATAATAATTTAAAAAAAATAAAATGATACTATATCAATAAGATCATTTTGTATGAATATACGAAGATGAATAAGTGAATATTTGATTTAAAATTTCAATTACAATGTATAAAAGATAAAATTAGTTATTTGACCTTGTTCAATTTTTTTGTTTAAATAGATCAAGTAGTCCTAATTGAACAAGTTCAACTGAGTAAATATATTGAAGATAATATAAAAATTAGATTCTATTCCAAGATAAGACTGTACTATATTTGCAATTCATTTTAGACTATTATTATTAAATATAAATTGTTATATATTGAAAATATACTTTGATTATCTATTGTTCGTGTTAAATGACCATGACAGAAATTTATTTAGTGTAAAAGAAAAAGAGTAGCTCGAGTTCTTATGAAGAATAATTTGTAAATGAATAGAATTGTAATTTAATTTCTTTTTTTTATTAATTTATTTCCTAAAATATTAGTCTAATAGATTTTTTTTTGCTCATATGAAACAATCCTTTTCTCTAATCGAATTAGTAAAGCTAACTAGAATTTCACGTATCTAAATAATTGAATATTGAAAATATAAATTTTATTAGTTGGTTGGTTATATATTGTAATGAATTATAATTCATATTCGAATGAATGATGATGGTATTATAAGTAAGTATACTTCACAAGTAATATGTAGTTTTATTTAAAATATTCATTATATTATTGAGTGTATTCTTTTTGTTATTCAATCAGTTATTTGAAATATATTCGAGAGCTTTTTTTTCCCCCTCTAATATTTATATTAAAACGACTGTTCAAAATAAATAGATTAACTTTAGTTTAAAAAGTATAATTTTGTTAGTTTTGCGATAAATATGAAAGAAAAATATCAATGTCCTTGTAATGTTTTTGTTATTCTTGTCAACATCTTATTTTAATGTAAAAATTACGTATGTTATTGTTAAAAATGTTCAAATGAAAAGAAAGAAAATACTTAGCTGACTAACTAATGTGTCAGTTGCATTGACAAGAAATTACTTTCGAAATATGTATATTCAAGCACTATTATTACGATCGATGAATAAAAAGAAATTGGAAACAAATATTATTGTTAAATTTTTCTGAGTAAATTATTTTTGTATATTGATTTCAATTAAAACAAAATTCCTACTATCATCAACATAAGTTATTTATTGACTAAAAAATAAATTGATTTCATACGACGAATACATTTTCTCAACAAAACTAAATGAAGTAAAGTTAATAAGAAATTGAACAAATATAGATAATTAATAATTGTATTTCTATTTATTCAATTCATAAGCATGTACCAATAGAAATTTCTTTTTCAATACGATTGATTTTTATCAATGGTATATTACATAGATCGTCTAAACAACAGTTTCAGACACATTTTTATTTAAACCAACAAGAAATTATGTGCTGTTGTATTAATGTTTGTACGTAGTATATACAGTTCTTTATTCATAGATATCATACTCTACTATATTAAATATTTCTATAGAAATATAGTGATAGATTTTATATCAATCGATAGAAAATTTAAACATTACTCCATGATAAAGTTTCCTATTCCGAAAGACAACGTTTTATCTAAGATACAGGGTGTCCCATAAGTTGTGACAAAATTTTTTTAAATCTAATTTTTGATGATAATGAATACAAATTAAACTCAAACTTACACGTATCATACAACTTAACATGTACTTTTATTTGGATTAAATCATTGGATATACAAAAAAATAAAGAAATTGGTACATGTGTAGAATAAGTACACCATCAATGTGTTACAATATATATACCCCGATAAAAAAAGTTTCACTCTGTATTTCTCATATATTGTCACTATAAAAATAACCTATTTTGAAACTAATTAGATATTCTGAAAGCCCGCGGAGTTTTCTATCACTCTGTAGAATTAGGTTTTAGTTTTGACCTTTTCATTACCAAAATAAATTGAAGACAACGAAGGTACCCNGTAGAAACACTTTCTGAAAATGGTATAGAATGCCGATCGGAAAAAATCCAATGAAAAGATATTTTCAATCCCATCAAAAGATAGCCCACGATCGATAGTAGCTATGGCAAAAAAATCTCTGTTATAGCTCTTATCCTTGTTGAGAAAATGCAAATCGACTGAAAAGTATTGCACTACAAAATGCACCAAAAATGACCTACCCCCAATAGTTGTGTCCACTATATCTCCAGACTGGCTTATCCATTTGAGCTGAAATTTTGGGTTTCTTCCTAAATATGTTAGGCCTACTTACTGTGAAAATATCAGCCAAATCGGTGAGATCGATTGAGCAAGGTCGGTCGTGGCTTACGTGCAATGCCTCCAATATACAATGAATCAAATGAACATGTACAAGTATGTGGAATAGTACAATATAGTCCAGACCATCCTTGATAACACTGCCAAACACTTTGATTTTGTAGATTATTTGAATAAATAATACACTTACCATGACCACATGGAGAATTGAACAACTTCGATTTTGTTCATTATTACATAGAATATTAACTATTAAACCTAGACGTTGAACAGGTAAAAATGAAAATTTAATTGGATATAAAAAAATTGCTCGATAA